CCTTTGTCCATGTGCTCTCATCGTTCAACACCCGCCTATGAGTGAGAACATGCGGTGTTTGATCTTCTGCTCCTCTGTCAGTTTGCTGAGAATGATGGTTTCCAGGTCCTTTGTGGGGACATGGATAAACCCTGAATATTTTCTTCCTCCACCCTGTTACATTGCAGAATTTCTCTCTCTTCCTTCCTTTTCTCTTTCTTTCTCTCTTTCTTTCTCTCACTCTTTCTCTCTCTCTCTCTTTCTTTCTTTCTTTCTTTCTTTCATGATCTTCAGTTCTTTAGCATATTGACGTTTGCCTTTAGGTTTGTAGAATAGCTGCTGCAGTTGGAAATATCACATTGTCCTCATTACCATTCTTAAGAAGGAGAATGGCTTTCTCAAAAGCTAACTGGGTGGAATTTTCTTTGTGGTTCATTGGCCATGACTTTGCCAATGAATATCAAAAGAAGATAAAAGTACTGTGATTTTCTTAAACTTACCAATATTCATCTCCTGGGATGTGGAGAAGGCACAGCCTCCTTCTTAAAGCACATGGCAGTCCAGAACCTGACCAAAATCAGGGCTATGTTACTAAGGAATGTACAGGGTTGGGTAGTATAGAAAATGGCTGTTATGAGAGAAAAATATCAGCAATAGAGAGTTTAAATAAGGTATATTGGAAAAAAGCCTCAAGTCTCTGCTTTTCAACAAATAGCTGTTTGACATTAAGTATTTTCCTCAGTTTTCTCTTCAGTAAATAAGAGAGTTTGACTAAATCAGCGATATTAAGTGGTAACTGGCATAACAACTCATAGGGAAATAACCGAAGTACCTTGGAGAGTTTTTCAAAATGCATACCCAAATACTATTCCTTTTCAGAATCATGAATTCTGAGACCCTTCTACCAAAATAAAGATTTTTTTTTCTTTTTTTTTGGCTGGGTGTGGTGGCTCATGCTTGTTATCCCAGCACTTCTGTTGTTTTTTAGCCTCCTTAAACCTAGAGGAAAAGGAAGTACTTGTGGAGGAAGGAGCTTAGACTTTAAAAGACTGGGTTTAAACCTAAGATCTAACATTTCATTAATGGAGTTACCTAAGGAAAGTCTTATTTTTTCTGTGTTGATTAGGATAACAACATTTTTATCTCATGGTGCTTTTATGGAGAATAGGTAAAATAATATATAGAAAAGCATTATAGATGTGCTGCTTGTCATAATTTTCATCTTAAAACCAAGAAAATCTATTATGTATTAGCAATAAGAGGACAACAGTACTTGAAATTGTACAGAATTTTTAAAATTGATATATTCGTACATATTTTAGTGGTACATGTGATAATTTTATATACAATGTGTAATGATCAAATCAAGATAATTGGACAACTTCAAATTGTAGCATAAGGCTATAGTGACCAAAACACCATAGTACTGGTATAAATGTAGATACATAGGCAAATGGAACAGAATAGAGAACCAAGAAATAAAGCTGTACACCCACAACCAACTGATATTTGAAGAGGTACACAAAAACATAAATTGGGGAAAGAACACTATTAAATAAGTGGTGCTGGAAAAATATTAAGTGGTAATATTAGAATTTATTCCTTCCATCTAATTGTATTTTAGTACCCAATTTCTCTTTATCCACCACTCCCCCATTCCCTTCCCCTACTCTACTAACCACGATTCTACTCTTTACCTCCGTGACATTCACTTTTTTTAGCTCCCACATATGAGTGAAAACATGCAATATTTGTCTATGTCTCGCTTATTACACTTAAAATAATGACTTCCAGCTTCATCCATGTTGTTGCAAATTAAAGTATGTTGTTTTTTATGGCTGAATAATATTTTATTATGAATATATACCATATTTCTATCTGTTTATTTATTAATGAACACTTAGGTTGATTCCATATCTTCGTTATTGTGAGTAGTGCTCCAATAAAAGAGAGTGCAAATATCTCTTCAATATGCTGATATAGTTTCTTTTTGGATATATACCTATCTGTGAGATTGCTGGATCATACGGTAGTTCTGTTTTTGGTTTTATGAGGAAACTTCATATTGTTTTTTACAACAGCTGTGTTATTCTACATTTCCATTGACAGTGTACAAATACTCCCCCTTTTTTTGAATCCTCACCAGCGTTTGCTTTCTTTTGTTTTTTTGATAATAGCCATTTCAGTTGGGGTGAAATAACATTTCACTGTGGTTTTGACTTGAGTTTTCCTGATGATTAGTGATGTTCAGCAATTTAAAAATATATCTGTTGTTCATTTGTACACCTTCTTTGGAGAAGTGTCTATTCTATTTATTTTCCCATTTTAAAGTTGGATTATTGTGGTTTTGTTATTGAGTTGGCTTGAGTTCCTTATATATTCTGGTTTTTGTCCCTTTTCAGATGGGTAGTTTTCAAATATTTTCTCCCATGTTGTTGTTTGTCACTTCACTTTGTTGATGTCTCATTTGCTGAGCAAAAGCGTTTTAGCTTTTATCTCCATGTAATCTCTCTCATGTGTTCATTTTTGCTTTTACTGGATGAGCTTTTGAGGTATTATTCAACAAATCTTTGCCCAGTGTAATGTTCTGTTACCTTTCTCCAATGTTTTCTCTTAATACTTTCATAGTTTCCGGTATTACATTTAAGTCTTTAATCCATTTTGAGTTGATCTTTGTCTAAGGTAAAGGATGGGGGCATAATTTCATTCTGCTAAGTGTGGATATCCAGTTTTCCCATCACCATTTACTAAAGAGACTGTCTTTCCCCAATGTGTGTCCCTAGCACCTTTATTGAAAATGAGTTGGGTGTAAATGTGTGGATTTAGTTCTGGGTTATTTATTCTGTTCTGTTGCTCTGGAAGTTTGTTTTTTTTGCCAGACATAAAGCCAACCCTTTTGGTTACTGATTTAATTTGTATAAAAAGTTCAAATTTTTAAGTAATATAATAATACATATTTGAATATTGATCCAGTTCCCAAATGATACAATTAAATGTTTTATTCAAAGAGATAAACTGTTATAGCTTTAAAACATTGGATTTAGAGTCAGATTGTCTAGGTTGATATCTTTGATTTCTCCCTTTTTATCTAGGGGATTGTGGGCAAATAGCTTAATTTCTGTTTTCACAGGCTCTTTTTGAGAATTAAAAAAGTTAATAATTATAAAGGACTTTAGAACAATACATGGCATATTATGAGCATTCATCAAATGATAACATGTATTTGTCTATTACTTTATTTATATGAAAATGGCTGTAAGAATGTAGCTAAACAAACTATAAGAACAATACATTTTAAAGCATCCCGACATTCAAGGGAATAGTCAGTGTATTCATAGTTATAGATGAAAGATAAGAATTTATTCTTATTCAATTGCTCAATTTAAAATATCCTAAGTGTAAATTGATAATATGAACGTTTTGAATGAAAGTTTAAGAACACTAACAAAAGCATTAGAAATATCCATACCATTGACCCAGAAATTTATTTAACTTAGGAAGTTATACTAAGGAAATTGTTAAGACTTCTATGCTGCATGATGCAGTTTCACCATTGCCATTATTGTCTTCTCTATCACTGCAGACTATGTCATGCTCAACTATCACTCTCAAATATGTAGTCCCTTACCTGCTGAAATGGAGTCTCCCAAATCCCTGGGAATTAAAGTTTCAATATCCTAACATGTTAACTTTATTGCTTCTGTCTTCTCTGGACCCCTACAGGTTTCCAAGATCAAGAAAATCAAGCCATGGCAGATTGATACTTGAGGTTCCTGACCCCAGTGCAGAGATCCACAGATGTACATTACTCGGCCTCCCCTGCTTTATCGGTTGGTGCTCTGTGCCTTCCTATTAATAAGGAGACAGGTTAGGAAAGAAGTCTAATTTCGATTGGCTTTTCTAATGTGACCTTTGTCAACCATATTTTGATATCTTACTGGTGAATAATAGGAGACATGAAGGCATATATTATCTTTATGAGGCTGAATGTATCAACCTTCAAAACATGTTGGCAGCAGCATATGCCAAAAAAGGATATGGATACAGGGATACCAGTTCAGGTCAGGCCTGTTACAGTATGTGAGAAATAATATTAGCTTGGCTTAGACTGCTATTAATGTAGAATAAGATAATTAGAAAATGTTAAGAAGTAATTGGGAAGTAAAATCAACAAGACTTCGTTGATTAATTTGATGTGAAGAGTATGAGAATAAAAGGTCTTATCAAGATATCAGAAATGACTTTTAGATTTCTGGTTTAAGAAATCTAAATGTATAATGGCACCATTTCCATAGATGGGGAAGTTTATTGGGGAAAATAGGATGGAGATGAACAGATGAATTTTAATTATTCCTATTTGAGATTCACTTGAGTTTTCCAAGTAGAAATGTAAGGTATGCAGGTGTATGTCCTAATTAGCATATATTTCAAAGTCTATGATATAAAATTGAGATACATCAGCAAACAGATGGTATATAAAACTATGGGAGTAGATAAGACAGCTAAGAAATAGTTGTGAG